AAGCACAAAGTCCAAAAGCAGTTTCCAAGTAGAAACTGTAATCATTTTTAATAATTTAATAATTATTAATTTAATAATTTTTTCTTTAATCAAAGAAGTCAGTTTAGTCATTTCTGCTAATTCTATCAACTTTTGCAGCCCTTCATCCATTGTGGGAATCACAGTCTCCTTTCATTTTTGTGCATAAAGTAATCTTGCTGTCGTCAGCATGAATAACATTAAAGTTCCATTTTTTTTTTCTTTATCCATTAGACCTAAAAGAAAAATCTGTGGTTTTATCTTTATGTTCACTTTATATGGATCCTACTCCAACATTTCTTTGCTTTATCATATGTCCACTACAAAAGATAAGAAGTTCCGTATTTACATTTACAATGATATCATTCAATCATTTCCTTTGAGACAGCCTGCAATCACCTACAGATCTCTAGCATCCTGGCATGGATACATTTAGGCTGTTTAGCTCATATCACCTTGAATGTAGGAGAGTGCATGGGTTTAATTTCTTTCCCTGTGAGAAGGTAGAGGAGAAAGTGCAGGAATTGGTGATATCGAGTTTAAATAAGAGAAGAGACTAGGGGTGACATGATAGCAGTGTTCTAATATCTAAGGGCTGCCACAAAGAAGACGGAGTCAAGCAATTCTCCAAAGCACCTGAAGGCAGGCAAGAAACAATGGGTGGAAACCAATCAAGGAGAGATGCAACCTAGAACTAAGGATAAATTTCCTGACAATTAGAATTCAATGGAACAGCTTGCCTCCAGAAGTTGAGGATACTCCAACATTGGAGGTTTTTAAGAAGATACTAGACAGCCATTTGTCTGAAATGGTATAGATCTCCTGCCTAAGCAGGGGTTGGACTAGAAGACCTCCAATGTCCCTTCCATCTCTGTTATTCTTTTAAAGTCTTCTGGGAGATAGAACAGGAGAAATGGATTAATGACTGTCAAGTGAAAATGATGCTAGGCAGTGTTAGATGCTGAATGTATGGGTATGAGGAAAAAGCTGGGGAAGACCATAAGTAATATTTACAAAGAAAAATGAAAAAAAAAAAGAAATTGGACAGGAAAAAAAAAAAAAGAACAATTCTAGCTCTCCCAGATGACTTTGAGGGGAATGCTAAAAAAAAAAAGAGAAAAAAATCAGATGTGGAAAGAAAATGCCAGAGACAGAAGGTCACCTAGCCAGTACAATGATCTATCTGTGCGATCACTGAGAGACAAAAAGGATTTGATGGCACATAATTAATCAATCAATAGCTCTCTTTTATATTTACTCGACACTCCAAGTTCCAATAGGTAATTATACAAAATGCTTAGCCAGATTGAAACTTCTAGTTAAAGGTAGAATTGAAAGAGACGGGAACTTGTTTGGGAGGAATTTATTTTATCTAGTTGTAAATAAACCTCAGCTTGGTATTTGTCAGAAAATAAAGTTAGAATTAAAAATTGTTATACTGTGCTGATAAACACACTCACACACACACACACACACACACACACACAAAGAGAAAGAGAGAGAGGAATCACACCCCATGGATCCACAAAAATATATAGCTATTTATTAAGCCTCAAAATGGAAGATGAACAAGTGAAAGAAACACTGATGGGCAAAATTTTTGGGATATACTATAAAGGTGAAGTTTCCCTTCACACATATGTGCTACTCATTCCCGACTCTAGGGGGCAGTGCTCATCTCTGTTTCAAAGCCAAAGAGCCAGTGCTGTCCGAAGACGTCTCTGTGTTCATGTGGCTGGCATGACTAAATGCCAAAGGCGCATGGAATGTTGTTACCTTCTCACCAAAGCTGGTCCCTATTTTTCTACTTGTATTTTTTATGTGCTTTCGAACTGCTGGGTTGGCAGAAGCTGGGACAAATAATGGGAGCTCGCCCCAGAGGTGATATTCAGCAGGTTCTCCAGGTTCTGGAGAACTGGTAGTGGAAATTTTGAATACTTTGGAGAACCGGCAAATAACACCTCTGACTGGAGATTTTACAGTATCCTTCCCCTGCCACACCCACCAAGCCACACCCACAGAACCAGTAGTAAAAAAATTAAATCCCACCACTGGCTCACCCAATTACGTGGCACTAGGGATTCGAACCACTGAACTGCCAACCTTTCAATCGATCGTCTTAACCACTGAGCCACTGCGTCCCTTGGGACATGCTATAAAATTAGATAAATGGCAAAAACTTTGGGGTAGAAACTATAATTTGATAATGGTAACTACGAACAAGGAAAACCTGTATAAAATGTTCTACAGGTGGCATTTGCCACCAGCAAGACTAGCAAAGATGTTTTAAAACATGTCTGCCAAATGTTGGAAATGTAACCGGATACCGAGTTCATTCTACCATATGTGGTTGACTTGCCCAAAGACAAAAAAAAGGATGAAAATACATACATGGTTAGAGAAAATGATAAAGCAACATATAGATTTAAACCCAGAAATATTTTTGCTAGGTATTTTGCCAGAAATATATAAAAAAGGGAATGTATATTTAATACTACATCTTTTGATGGCAGCGAGAATTGTATTTGCACAACATTGGAAAAATGAGGAAACTCCTTCAGATGAAAATATAATAAAAAAAATATTAGATTGTGCGGAAATGGATAAGTTAACATTAAAGATGAAGGATAAAGAAGACACAGAATATTTTTTAACTTGCGATTTGTTTTACCAATGATTAGATAATAAAAGTAGAAATTAGAAGTTGGAAGAATACTATTATATACAAGTCAGAATATTATTGTTACTACAATTATGTATATGTAAAATGACCCAGACAATACACTGTCTATTAAATAATTGTACATGTTAAAGAAAAATGTATAAATAAAAATATTTTTAAAAGCTTGTGATCATCTTACTACAATACATAGTTATAATATTTGTATGATTGTATGAGGTATTTGTCCTCATCTTGCTATCACTGAGATTTGTTATGGTTGCCTATGGACAGAGAGGTTTTTTTAGACATCCTTTCCAATATTTCTCAACTACAGCAAGTATAAAATGGGAGGACAGCTGGCTGGGGAATTCTGGGAGTTGAAGTCACCCATCTTAAACTTGCTGAGGTTGGGAAATACTGCTTAGGCTACTTATTTCAAACAACAGCACTACTTTCCTCTGCTTTTATGAGTTATATCTTTCTTTACACAAGTCTCTGATCGCTAGCCAACCTATTTTGGCCCAATATATTGGGCAAACTTAGCTGAGCCCAGTTAGTTATTGGGCACAGTCATAAAGCTGAATTAACTGAATGAACCATTATCATCAAGATGAAGAGTAAATGTGCATGACAACCTGCTTTATTCCCATTTTTTGAGTATTGGAAGTAAAAGGTATATTATTAGTTCAGCCTCTTGACTTTTGATGGGCTGCAGGTAGTCACAATGATAGGAGGAGAAATTTTTGAGGCCACTTGTCCCTAGTTTTTGGGAGAGGTTTTAAAAGTTATAAATGGGAGGTAAACTTATCCCATACCTTTTACCATGACTGTCCAAGTTTCCACTGCCAGTTTCTGATGAAAAAAATAACTGAATTTCCAAAACAATATTTTAGAACAATATTAGGTGGGGTGGGGAGTGGTGGTAGTAAGAATAAAGGAATTGCCTCTTAGAAGTCTCACATTTTTATTCCTACCTTAATTGTTGCGAATAAATAAGGATGAGGGAGAGAAATTGCACCTCTCAATCTTGATAACATAATCTCAGGGAGGCGGAGGACTGCAAATTGCTCAGTCCTTCTTTAAATTCTGGAAATATGAGATGTGTTTTGCTTTTCTGTCATCTCCGGGAGGTAAAATTAAATATGGTGGTTTCATATGGCATTTAACATATGGTATAATATATTGTATTTCCGAGTGCTGTTCAGCAAAAGTCCATGCAATGTTAATACTAATTCCCTCTTAAGCATTTGGCATATTTTATTGCTTCCTGTTCAGCATAGCTCAGTGATTAGTAATAAATTTCTCCATAACTAATCTTTAATCATCAACTTTTGATTCCTCACACCAGGAGTAAGTCAGATTGTAGAACACTGGAATCAGCTGGAGATCTTATTCGGCGTAAAAATCCTTTATATCTACATGTGCTGAAAATATTTACTCATAGCTAAGCATGCATATTTTCCAAATTCATTAAAAATAATAATGATAAATAAACAAATGTCTTTGTAAAAACAAAAAGCTTTCCCATAATAATTGAACATCTGCCTTGCGCTGTCAGGATTCTGGCAGTTACCCCAATTAAATCATGAGTCTCGAGCCAAACTTCCAAAACTTCAAAAGGATTTATTGGGAGTTAACATGTCTGGCACTGCCTGGGTTTAGCCAACTCTGAGACACATAATTCATTGTCATCCTTGACCCTGGCTTCTCCCCACCCCTGGGTGTATCATAATTCATATTCTCCAATGAGACATATCCATAGCCAAGAATCATCAATCATGTTCTCTGGTTAGAATTTTGCATGCAGAAACTTCAGTCATCTTTGAAAACTATTTATGAAATGCACTTTCAGTTTCCAAGCTGCTGCACTTCTCTTCCAAAAAACCCTTTTCCGCCTCCCTTTTGGTTGGCAACTCTAAAAATAACTGGAAAAAAAATGGCTGAAAAACAGCTTCTATCCCAGGGCAGTAGCTCTTTTGAATTCTGCTGTATAGTGCAGTGTTGGTGCGGTATTGGGGGTTTCCCATTCAATGTGTGAAGGGTGTGTGTTTGTGTTTATTGTCATGGTCATGGTCATGATGTGCACTGAAGATGGTGTTTGATTTCATTGTACGAGGTGCATTGACAGTAAAGTAAATAATAAAGTAAACTAAACTAAACTAAAAAGACCATAGAAATATTTTATGAGTTGGCATGCTCCATGGAGAAAAATACTGAAGTTAGATATGTTCCCTTTTTTGAACATGTCCAATTTGCTCTCTCTTGATTGCAGTGGTCTTGCCACAAAGAGATTCAAAGTATCTCCCTCTTTATTTTACAGAGATCATCTACAGCTGGGTATTTAATGCATTCCCCTCCTTTGTGGCAGAAGACAGCAGGCGTTTCATCTCCCAGGAGACAGGCAACCTCTATATATCCAAAGTGCAACCATCGGATGTTGGAAGCTATATCTGCCTCGTGAAGAACACAGTGACAAATGCCAGGGTCCTTAGTCCTCCAACTCCATTAACACTTCGAACTGATGGTAAGTTAGCCGTTTCTCAAAATTGAAACGCATTGGGGGAGCAGGAGGAGCTATGTGGAAGTGTAAGGATTGTTATCTATGGAGATTCTCAATCATCCAGGTCATGGTTATCCCAAAGGAGAACCAGACTAAAAGACAACTGGACTGCCTTGGTTTTTTTTCCTTTGAAAGAGGAGACAAAGAGGCCACCTATGTTAAAATTGAATAGTCTTCCCTCAACACATGGGGAGAGATACAGCACCATCTATTTCCTGTTTACAAAAAGGTTCCACATCCATTTGCACTTAGGTGATTCTAAGGATGCAGGTAAAGCTCTACATGGCCTCCATGACTCTCAGAGTGCTATGACCAGATAACTGCAAAGAATGTAAATTCTTTCATTCCCTACCAGTCACTTAACTTTGACACAAGGTGACAAGGGAATCCCTGATATGACAACTCTTTTTTTTCCCCTTCTTAAATTTAGTCTCAGCATCTGGAAATAAATAAATAAATGAACTTTGAATCAGCATTATGAAAAATAAAACCCAAGATCTATCAAGATTTTTTGAGAAGAAGGTTTATCAAGCCTTCCTACAGCTTTTTTCTTTTTGTATATCGGACTTCAGCTTGGTTATTTCAAGTAATTGTAAGAAATTTAAATCCAATCCATCTTAAGAAGAACCACAGAAGGACTGTGCTAACCATTTATCAGTTGGTTGGTAGGATTGTGAAATTTAAGTATACTCTTACCTTGCATTGTTTTTTTTTCTAATGAAATCAATCATTGAAAATATTTATCTGCTGACTTCCGGTTTGAAGGGCTCTGGCGACAGACAGAAATCCGCAATCGTGTGCGGTTTCTGTCTGGGCTCGCCGCGGGAGCACCCCAAGCTGGCTGGTTTCGGGGCTAAGCCACCCCATAGAGGTGGTGAAGAGGGGGGAGACTGCCAGCAGGGTTGAGGAGAGCCACATCTCTCCTCCTCAGCTGGCCATTACTCCCTTTCCCGAAGGCGGTTGCAGTGGTGGTCAGAAATGGGCACCACAAAGAAGAACTCAACCGGAAAAGAATATGCAGGAGGAAGATAAGAAGTGAAAGTTTTGGCTGACCAGGTTAAGTTGTAAAAGCAACAACTAAGGTACCCTGGAATTTAAACTTACAAAAAATAACATCGCTCCCAAAGAAGAGTCGGAAGCAGCGAAGGAAAGTGAAAAGGGAAAGGTTTGGCTTTTTTTTCCTTCTCTCTCCTTCCCTATACTGACAACTAAGAGACTTAAATAAGAAATTGGAAAAATCCACTTTGACATCAATAGGCAATTAAGCTGGAAAAAAAACAAAATGCCAAAGGGATAATAAAGATTTCTGGACATTAAAAATTTTCATTTTCATAAGCAGGAAGGGAGAGAAAAAGAATAAGGGCAGGATCTGGAAGAGGGAGGAAACTGCCTGGAATTAAAAAGAATCTACAGTAAAACTTCAACAAGACTTCTAAAAGATACATTTTAACTGAAACTTTGCAACTAAATAGTAACTCCAGGAAGAAAAAGTGAAAAAAAAGAGCAAAAAAGAAACAGCTTGCATGTATTTGGATTATTTGGTGATCTTTGGATTCTTGGTTATTATATTTGAATGACTAAAATCAATCGGGTGGTTGTTTAAAAATTTATACAATGGCACCACTTCTGGATGAATTGAAAATGGAACTTAAAAAGTACAAGGAAGATGCACAAGAAGGGAAGGGTTCTTTTGGCTTTGTTTTTCAATTCTTAGAAATGGAGATTTGGAACTATGAGAAACAACAAGAAATGACGGCAAAACAAGAAGACTGGGACAAAGAAGAAGCCATCTTTAATGAACAAGCAATTTTATGTGGGGAAGAAAAAGGAAAGTGGGGAAAGAGAATGGAGAATTTAAGACTTAAAAAAACAACCAAAGAAAAGAAAAATAATTCGAAAAATAAGTATAATACTGGAAAGCAACAGAAAGGGGGTAAAAAGGGGAGAGAGAAGAAGAGAGGGAAGAAGGAAAGGAAAAGAAGTTACAAAGGACCGGAGCAAGATATAGAGAAACAGGACCTATTTAGAGATAATGGGTGAAAATCTAACTGAAAAAGGGATTCTGTAAAGGTACATAAGATTGTATTGTTATATTAGTAATAGAAATAACTTTAGAAAATTGGAAACAATGTATGATTAAAATGAGGGATAAAATAGTTAGTGTAATTTAATGAAATGTTTGTGAATAAAATAAGTGAAATAAAATAAATGAGAAAATTGAATTAGGAAGGAACGGGAACATTTAATGTTAATGTTAATGTTTTATAAAATATAAGTGAAGGGGGGGGAATTAACTATGGAAAGCTTATAATTGTTCCCATAGAAGTATGATATTTAATTGAAAAGTAATGTTAAAGATGTTAAGACTTTAATGAATATTAATATTAATGATAGAATTGAATTGGAATGGAATGTTGTTTTAATTATATACATTTATAATTTTTTTCTTTTTTTAAGAATACAGTGTGTATTTTAAGAATGTACCAAGCAGAATCCGAATGGAAGTTATGTATTATATTGAAGGTTACAACTTTAGGGAAAAGATATAAAGGCATCATACTCCAATCAGTAACTACAGGAGAATTTTTGTTTAATGAGAAAAGATAATAGATAATTGAAACAGGACAGACAAAAAATATAAATACAATGATTTGAATTGAGATGAGATAATTAAAATAAAATTGAGAAAATTAAAAGAGGGAAGAAACTATGCAGAAAATGTAAAATTTGATATGGAATAGAATATAAAAATGAGCATGAACCTGAATTTGTGTCTGTACGAAGAAATGTAACCCGGGATTACGCTACTTTCAAAAAAGATGTTTTATTTGTATTTTTTTTTCTCTTTGTGAAAACTCAAATAAAATTTACAAAAAAAGAAAGAAAAGAAAATAATTATCTGCCTTCTTAGAGAAAAAATTTGCACAAACTCTTCTGCTTCTCCCCCCCACACACACACACCTTTTTTTTTTTTTTTTTTTTTTGATGAGGAAAATAATTTGGAGGGGAATTTTCAAGAGTTAAATAGAACCCTCTTCTCAGTTCCAGGGTCCCAGTACAAAGTGCCTTCCTTGATTCCTGAATTTTACACAGCAACATTCCCCTGCCTTACCTATTTTGGTTCACAAAAGAAAAACAGCATGTAATAACAGTTACATTTCATAATAAAATCGTACTTAATATTGTAAGACTAGAAGACATTAGGAAGTTTATTCCTAATATTAATAGTCTGCTGTTCTGATTACTGTATATAACTTTTCCAATTTTTTATTCACCTAACACTGGGACAGAAATCTTATTATACTATATTTAAATACAAACGAATCTTCAATTTGTCTAGAGAAAAGCTTTTCCCACCTTCCAAGATTGCCTCAGTTCCATTTCTTCAACTGATATCAAAGAAAGAAGAAAGTTCATCAATCTGTAACTTGAAGAGACCCTATTATTAAACATGTCCAAAATTCTGCTGGGAAACAAAACTTATTTTCTGGCTCAGGCAGCTAAAATAGCATGATAATTCATCTGGATTTGTTAATAGTGTTTTTTAGTTTCATTCCCCGGGGTAAATGCTATTTTGACAGATCCTTTTACAGGAATAGTACAGGCCACAGATCAGAAATCTAAAGTCTTTATTCCTTTTGTTACAAGAGAGATTTTATTACACAACACCAACAAGCTCAAACAAAATGTATGATATCCACTTATTTCTATGAGGCACAGATGACTAAGTTCAAGTGATCGTATCTAGATACATTATGCCAAAACTAGTTCTCTGAAGTGGTCTATAAGCCTATAATGCTCAGAACAGTGGAAAGAAAGTACAGTATATTCCTGAATGGAAAGCAAATAAACAAAGTCTATGCGTATGTGTGTATGTTTGTCAACCTTTATACTGTAAACATATATACATTTTTTCTTTTAATGACTATGTAATCCCTTGCATCAGGGTGGAGTCGGGGTGATTGAATGGAGCTGAGCATTTACTGGACAGATGCCCTTCCTGACACCTATGCAGAGCTCACAGCAGATATTATCTCTTTTCATCCAAAGAGAGAAATATCTGCTGCTACCTAGGATTCAACTCACAGCCTCCTGATCATGAGGCGAGAGAGTGGCCACCAACGCCACTCATACACATATATACAATGCCCATCAATAATTGGTTTATAGGTACACATATATACAATGCAGAATTCAATTCAAAAACTTTTACTACCGGTTCTGTGGGCGTGGCTTGATGGGCATGGCCATGTGACTGGGTGGGCATGGCTCTTTTTTTTTTTTTTGCAGCCCCCACCCATTTTGGGGAGCTTCTTAGCCACAGAGGAGCCTCTGGGGAGGGCATTTTTGCTGCCCCAAGGTTCCTCTGGGGCTCTGGAAGGCAAAAAATGGAGAGAGGAGCTGAGCTCCTCCCTCCATTTTTTGCCTTCCTAGGCCTCAGCAAGGGGTGAGCTGATCTTATCTACAGCTGATTATTGGGAGGGGGAAAAAAACAAAGAAATATCTTAGGCGAATGTCAGGCAGGTGGGTGGGGTGAGCAAGCATCGGGCGGGAGGGCAACCGGATGGGGGGCGTGGCCAGCCAGAACTTACTACCGGTTCGGCGACCCATGTCAAATTCTTGCTACTGGTTCGCCCAATCCGTTGCAAACCGGCTGAATACCACCACTGATACAATGCCCATCAATAACTGATTTCACTAAGAACTGTCAACCTAGTTGGCAAGATAAGAAAGTAATGCACAAAACTTTACAGAATAACAGAGTTGGAAGGGACCCTGGAGTTCTTCTAATTCAACCCATTGCTCTAGCAGAAGACATGTCTGCCAACTAATCTTCTTTTCGATACAGGTGGAACCCTCTCAAATTCTGGTCTAGTTTCTTTTTGGCTATACAGTACATGCTTTGTACTGTATAGAAAACCCCTCTTTGGAGGTCTAAATTACATCCTTTATAAAAACATAGA